TAAAATAAGATTAATTTACATTCTACTAGCCGTAGCTAATTATCATGATTATAAAAATACAGATGTTGCATTTTCACACGCGTGCTTTTTTGTTTTGTTCTTTGTCTTTGTCATAAATTGGATATTAATTAATTAATCAATTATCCTATATTTTTGTACAACAACTAACTAACATAACTACAGTGAGACATACTAAATTAATGAAATTATGCGGCTTATGTACCTACGAATCTTCAGTATACCTTTTTTTTAAGGGGGGAAAATCATCGAATGACTGCTCCCGCCTGGGTGAGCCGGAAGGGAGTGTCAGACTCTTACTGACTAAAAACCACCCCGTTACCCGTTAGGTTCTCCGCGACTCCGAATCGGCAACAGCCCTATTAGGCCCCATCTGTGGTGGTCTGATGGCTCTTTGAGGCGCGCGCGGAACGCGACGCGCCCTACGCTCGGGTCTGTTTCTGGTCGGACGGGGAGCCACCCATGCTCGCCGTCCGCAGTCCCGCGCTTACGGTGGCCGGAGATCGTCCCGCGATCCCCGACACCCGGTGTGTCCTTCGCGATGGCTGGATTGCGAGGAGGCAGCGCTTCGCTGCCTCACGCGTCCCGCCTCCTCCTTAGCTAGCATGACTGCTTCGCAAAAGGAGGAGACGGCATCCCAGTCCCCCTCCGCATCATAGCCTGCACTAGGCCCGGACGCGAGAGGTCGCCATCGCCGATCACTTCCCTGAGGACACGGCGGTGCTCAGCCCACGCAGAGCATTCTCCCACTGTGTGTTCCACCGTGTCCTCAGGGATCTTCAGTATACCTACGCAGCGACCGACTTCTCGTATAGTCCGTTCATGACAGTGAGCTCCGATCGCGGGCGGAAACTAGTACACTGACAACTCCACTTTGTCTAGGAGTTCCTCTAAAAAGTGGAGAATATACACAGAGTACTACCTAAGTAAGTAGCTGGTAGTACGTACCTACAATAGTGCTCGTGCGAACTGCAAAATCGAGCTCAGTGACGTCCTTTTAAGCAAGCAAGGAAGCAAGCGCCCTTTTTATTTGGTAATTGACACTATTTGATGATTAAATTATAATAAAGAAATCCCCATAAATAATCAACGTACACACGGCCACTCATCAATCTATACAAAACCAGTTTATCCTGGTGTCGCGTCGCATCATCTTTCCGCACATTTAACGTTCAGTTTATACTGGTTATGTAAACGGGTAAACCTCGATGTGTAGCCGTGTGTACACCCCTTATTCCGTCTTCCAAGTCTATTTCCGAGTTGGAAGCATTTACAAACAGCAGTAATTATTATTATTACCACGTCAAATTCCTTCAAATCGCATGTCGGAAGAAACAATATTTCTTGGTACAATTTACTACGCCTACTTAAGTGGACTATACGTTTTTTATACGGGAAATAATAGTAAAAGTCTTTTTATTAATGCAAACGTTTGTAAATGTGATGATTTGTAGGCATTTCCTAACATTGTATGCATTTAGATGGATCAAGTTAGGTCGCTTCTAACTAGTCTATCTGGAAGGCTTTGGTGAGGCCTATTTTCAGCACCTATATCTATACGTCTTCTGTCTGATTATCATGTTCAAATTCAGTTGTTGTTTTAACCTACGTAGTTTGGAGAATTCGGAAAGTACGGGCCTAACATTTGTCCTGGTTCTCATAAAAATCTATATACAGATAAATAAAATTGGACTGTCTGATTGTAATCCTTACTAATATTATAAATCGGAAAGTGAGTTTGTTTGTTTGTTCCGCTTTCACGCCGTAACTACTAAACCGATTGCTTTGAATTTTTGCAGACGTTAAGTTAAAAGTCTGGATTAAACAATAGGGTACCTACTTTTTATCCGGGAAAGAAATGACATTCTCGAGGGAAAACGAAATTATTGGTATAGATGGCGCTGTGTGTATTGATATATGTCACATAGGCTACTTTGTATCCTTATTCAAATAAACGCTTTTTACCACATGCATATGATAATAGGTATATACGATACATATACCAAAATAACACATTTTTCAATTTTTGTCTGCCTGTCTGTTTGTAGGTACTGGCTAATCTCTGGAATGGCTGGACCGATTTTGACGGGACTTTTATTGGCAGGTAGCTGAAGGAGAAACATAGACTACTTTTATTTTAGGAAAACGCAGACGAAGTTGTTGTTTCAGATAGTATACTATAACTGTCTTTATAACGATTTGGAAAAGGAAGTATAAGGATATAAACAGCTAACCAGTTTTGCCGTATCACCAACGGGTAGGTAGTGTGACTCATCCAACTGAATCTAGTAGACTCAGTACTGACCTTGACAAAGCGCATCTCCAACTGTCACGACACAATGGCGGAAATGACCTGTCTGTTCGACATTCATTTTTTAAACCTAAAACGGTCCATGTTCCGTGTATAAAGAAACTGCAATGAGGAACATTGTCTAACAATAAAATAAAAATTGCGTTTACAAAAACCGATTTTCAAAAACTAAAAACCAGCAAAAGCAAAAAACTAAAAACAAGAAATAACTACCTATTAGTCATATACCTACGAACTTATAGGTAACCCACCCACTAGTTACCTCCTCCTTATTTTGGAAGTCGCGTCGTTTAAAAATCGTCTTAACGAACAAAAGCAAAAGCTCCACTGCTTTAGAAATGTATGTCTATATGTTTCTAGAAGTTATATAAAACACACAGGTGTCTAGAAACTATAACTATCAGTAACCAGGTCGTACCTAAAACGGTACACAACTACACATTAACACGTACTTTTTTAACTACACCAGTTAAATGAGTTGTTAACATTAACTACATATTTCTAGAACTAGATCTCCTAGAAATGTAGAACGGTTGTGTCACCTTTAAACTTTAAAAGTCAATGAACAATGCACAAGGCTGTTTTTTTCACCTAGGTTCTTTTATAGGTTACCTACATTTAGACTGAGACGTACTTAGAGGCTATTTTGGTAGATCGGCGGTGATCTATAATTTGGTTATGAAGTTATAAATGCCAAGCGATATATGAGACGTATAATTAATCTGTTTTATTTATTTTATTGACTAGATTCAAATACGACCTGGATTTGTAGTTACATAGAAGTTTTATGGTAGAATCAGTTTCTTATGAGGACTTCCTCTCGAAGAGTTGTTAGTGAAAGAGGTGATATTTTGTAAAAGACTGATAATAATAATTTAAATCCCTAAATAAGTGATTAAACTTAGGCACAAATTATATTCAAATATGTTGACTGCACAGTGCGCTGTTAGCACCATGGCTGCAGGAGACCTGTGCAAAGCTAATTTAGTTTGATTCTACAAAAAAACTATCTGCATGATTCATAATTTGTTGATTCGACGCAGTTCTTGACTGCCTCGTTGGCTGAGTTGTCGCAAGTGCGACTGCTGGGTAAGGGGTCTCGGATTCGATTCCCAGGTCGGGCAAAGTATTACTGGGTTTTTAAATAAATCTCAGTAGTGGCACGGAATCTGGAATTGTGCCCGGTATATGGCAATAGGCTCGTCCCCTATTAAATTGGACTCATAACATAAATAGTGAATAGTGGGTGTTACATTTTACTGGGGCTTAAACTGTCAAACACCAAGCGGTCACCGGTGACCGCAACCTATTGTTCTATAATTGTGTCTATAAAACCGGTACTCGACGAGTTAAGTCCCGTATTGTGAACCTCTGCCTACTCCTTCGGGGATAAAAGGCGTGATGTTATGTTATGAGTTAGGTCCTATATGATATAAAAAATCCTAGTAGCGAGCAACGTTGTTTTAAAATAGTATTGCAAGAGTTTTAAGCTAGCCGTCGTCATATCGTAACGAATGAAATAAAATAATTATCAGGCAGGTATCTTTAGATTAATGACTGACGTCTACTGCATGTAAAAGTGACGTGTAAACGAGGTTCCACGGCGTCGAGAATGCGTGCAAGGCTTGCGAATATCTAGGCGGAGATATCTATGAGTCGTGTCATGATCTTTGCACTGACAGACCTACATACACCGACGTGGTTAACGTTTACTTTTATGGTAGGCACGACGCGTGATGTGTCGAACTACAGTTTAAAGGACCTTTCGATGTTTAAAACGCAGTGGATACAATCTCATTTCTTTCTTCATAAATTGAATAGGTATTTATATTATAATTTTCCTGAGACATACTAAATTAATTATTGTTCTTCGTCGTATTTGACGAGGAACTCGACTAGTTTCAAGTTATGCTACTGCGGCCAGTAGCAGCGCGACAGTCGCCGCGTCGCGGGTCGCGGTATGTTGCTCATGAATATAAGCCTCTGGCATGGCTTGAAACTAGTAGAGTTCCTCGTCAAATAATTACGTGAGTAAGTCGAAAAACATAATAATTAAAATGAATATTGTATCGTTAAAATGTTTGTGAGCAAATATCTTCTAAACAAATGGTATCTGGTGATCAAATTAGATCACTAACTTCTCTGTCGTATTTGTAAGACTTAGGGCATTGTTTCTGTGGAAGAAAAATAAGAACCATTTCTTGAGAGAGTTGAGGAATAAGCACTAAGAAGAAGAGATGACATCCAAGTATATATAAACATAAATAATAGACAAATAGTACCACTATGCATTGTGCAGAAGTCCGGCAATACTCACCACAAACATTTTGAAAGTAGGTTCTAAATAACTTTGCACCAAAACCTCAATGTGTCAAATAGTAAAATATATTTTTAGAAATCAAAATAGACGTCTCACTTTCATCTTTGTTTGTATAAGGCGATACTAAGACATTACTAGCGCCTTGTACGACACATGTCCCGCTTTCATTACGACAAAGTACTTAGCAAGTAAACACAACGTGCTTACCACGTCATCGTGCATAAAATGCAGGAAAATTAACACGAAATCAGATTCCTTTTCACCGGCGCCGGCCCAATATGCTTAACTAACTGTAAAATATTTCTTTGCGATCGTCGTCGCTGGTTTTAAGACAGTTAGCCATATACTCATTGGCATGACACACAATAGTATCGGGCCCAGTGTGCTGCCTTCATTCGCCCGAGCGCCAACATTCCGTTAACAGTCTCTTCACTTTTCAACGCAACTCGGTCAAAGACAATTCTATAATGCAAAAAAGTTTGTAACGCTTCTATTAATCGGACTATTAAAAGTGAACGCATCGGAATTTGACAGTGAATTTGGCGGGAAATCTAAAATAAAATGGCGCGTACATTTTTCGTGATTTTCGCTCTTATTTTGGTGTTGTCTCCTTGTGAAATGTCGAGGCGGAAGATTAAGGATTATCCTACGGATAAACAGCTGACTTTGCAGAGGAAGGAGACCACGCCAGTGGATTTCACGAGATTAGTGGTGATGAGATTGGTGTACGGTTTCGCGAAAGTTCTTGGCTTCGAAGAGCCTATTGGTGAAGTGATGAACGGTGCATTCGTGCCTCCAGGAGCTGACGATGATGACTTTGATGACGATGACGGTGACTTCTTTGATGACTATTAATTTCAAGTGCAGTGCGCGCATCTTTTCGATACCAAATAACTCGCATTTACTCATTTAATGTCTTTGTAAATTATTTATTAACTTATTCAACTGATAATTTATTGAAACTTAATTTATTTTAGTGTAAGTTTATGTTTAAGTGAGTACAGAACAATAGACTGTTAAAATTGTATACTTATTTGTTGTTGTTAAAATTGTATACTATAGTCAGAATTTTAATTAGATTCCAGATTTGACAATAGCTACTGTCATTTGGTGAAATAATGATACCACATATAACAGTGTAGTGATGAACACAAAAATCGATAAACAATCAGTGTGTGTGATTTATAATAAATGTTACAGAAAGTGGCAGGATAGCGATAGCGGTGACGGCGACAATTTAAATAAAATAACTTATTACCATAATACATCTATCTGTTTTATTTGTCATGTTCCTTCATGATTACATTTTTTTATTTATTTCACACACAATTATAAAATAAAAGTCTCAGATCGTTAATTAATCGTCAAAACCAAATTATCGGTTCAAAAATATTGAATTTCCTGATATACTTTATTTACGAGAGTAAAATTATAAACGAGAAGAATCAATCCAGAAATATTGCATTTCCATATCGAATAATTTCGCAACGTCACTATTTAGTACTTGTCATAACGTTGCAACACTGAAATTGTCAAATCTAGAATCGAATTAAAATTCCGAGTATAGGTACCTAATTATTTTCTTTGTTATGTTGATGAGAAGAAGAAAGCAATAATATTTTTGACCTTACACGTCAGAAATAATATTCTTTTCTACAGAAACATTTAAAACTACAAACAGTACTTGTATGCCCACGGATGGCTCACGATTTAATAATCCATTGTACTTATCTAGAAAAAAACTTAAATACGTTCAACATAAGTAACTCGATGTCTCAATTTTTATTTTTACCATTCTTTTAATCATTATTTATTTATTTATAATAATATATTGATTTACTTATTTATTATACATACCTAGGTGCGGAATTCTTGAACTATTTCCGATTTCCGTCCTAAGTATAGGGAGATACGAAATAAGTACCTACCTACTTTTATAAAATTGAAACAGGTTTTTTATTAAAATTGTTACATTCTGTTACGTTATATTCTGATTTACCTATTACGTTGCGGGAACCAAGACAGTTATTCATGTCCCTGGGACGCACCGGCTTCAGTGTTCCGGTGTTTTCATGGTTGTATCTACTGTATATCCTGGCTTACAGGAGTTGCAGCGGTTTTGAGAGGTTGTAGCCGGCTGGTCGCATAAAAAAGGCTACATGTGTAGGTACACAGTAAACGTAGATAAGCTAATTAAGTACCTAGGTATTATCTTTCTATTCATTGATTTTAAAACTTATTATTTATTAGTCTTTATAAGTATTTTATCTTAGTATTATTTGTTTTTCATAAATTCTTTGTTTGAATTTCCCAGGCGGATAGACGTTATAGGTAGTCTAAAATTGTACCTATTCTGTATATTATTGTAAGTATCTATTTGTGTTTATTTGTATTATTTATTTCCACGTAGTTTTACGTTTTTAACAATGTACCTGGTAGTCGCTAGCTGTCCTATTTATTTCTGCTTAATAATTCCTACATAATAATTCCTAGAATTAATAAATTGTAAATAGTACGTAATTATATTATTTATTATCAGGTCGTGGCTTTTTTATTTATTAACAGACTTATAAAAAAGGTAGTTCTCAGTGTGACCTGTACCTATGTATGCGATTGGTTGAATCGACTTTGATGCGGTTTTCAGTACCTATAGTGTTACAATTAGGGGAAGGCTTTATAGTAAATGTACTTACATTAATTGACCGCTTCAAAAAAGAGAGGGTTGAAGTTGGTTTTTATAAACGTAGTTAATATAGATAGGTACCTATGTATTTCTGTGGTTTATCATATCTCGTCTTAACTTAACTACCCTTATTTGAGATATTAAAGTGTAATGATTTAATTTGATAATTTAGTTGATCAGGTACGATTGGCGCTGTAGTAGGCGGGTACCAGTGATTTGAGAACTTGTGATTTTTTTTTTGCATAAGCCGTTAAACGAGCAGACGGATCACCTGATGGTAAGCAATCGGCGTCGCCCATGGACACCTGGAATACCAGAGGCGTTACAAGTGCGTTACCGGCCTTTTGGAGATTAGGAATTTGAGGATCGTTGGGGATTCAGGGATTGGGGAGATTGGGGAAGGGGAGGGTAATTGGGCCGTCGGTTTTCTGTGAGATTGATTCCAGTGCGGTATCTACAACTCTTTATGATGTTATTCCGGGTCTGGGTGCAATGTGTTTGCGAAATGTATTTGTAAATGCACCAACATTATCTACAAGATAAAAAATTTAATGTACCAATGTTTTGAAAAGTAGGTATATAGATGCAAGTATCTACGCCATGCAAGCAACTGCAGTCAACACGGAAACCGGTTCCGAAGTGAAGCAATTGCGGAAGGTAACATGTATCGTGAGTTTACGAATACTAATTTATTATCGACTGCACATATTTGGCGCACTGTCCACGCAAACCGGGTTCAATTTTCGCACGAATAAAAACATCCCGGTCGGCAAAGGAGAGGTTCTGATTCTGATGCGGATAAGCACCTAGGTTAGCAACTCATAGGTGCTCTTAATTCTTAGCGCCGTCGCCACTCCACGTGCACTATGCAGTTGAGCATGCGCGTCTCGCGGCGCCCCTATACATATAACTTGGCGCCCTAGGAAGGCCTAGTTTGCCTAAGGGATAATACGACTCTGGAGAGGACATATCGTCTCATCAGTCCCATGTAACATGAATTTTCATATAAATACATTCTCTCATCTGGGTCTCACCTGAACCAAATACCTAATAGGATTCTTGTAAGAGAGAGGGTATTAAGTCACATTATAAAAATAAAAAGACATGTCTCCATAAATAAATAATACTGTATTCAACAATCAGAAACAAAAACATTATCATAAATCATAATTACAATCTTGCATCCACGACGGATCTTCAGCAAAAGCTACATCTTGTACCTCTTCATCACTGCATTCTTCAACTTCGGTGGTATAAGTGCACCCTTTCATTTTCCTGATCAAATCACCCCATTTTACCTTCATATCACAGAAGGGACAGGTACCTTCTACTGGGACATACTCTCCTGGTACTAAAAATATTTCTGCTAAGCAAGTTATATGACACAAAAGTTGACAGTTGGGATTCAAACAGGAGATCTTTGTCTGACCGTCGGTGATGTAAGCGGAGCATAGAAGACATTCTTCATCCGGTGGTATGGGGTTTATGTCTTTGGACTTTAAGTTTTTACTTTTTACAGGTCCTTCGCAGATTGACATGTGTTGTGGTGGTATTCTTTCAGGCTGGAAACAGAAGAAAATGAATTTTTTTTAATGAATGTTGTAATGAAGTAGGTAAAAAATAACCGTTAAGTTCTAGGAGAAACCGACACTGAATCCTAATTTTATTTGTTTGAATAGGGTGCCACTGGTAAGTCACTTATAGTACTATAACAGTCACAAAAAGACCCACAGACAACATTATCAATCTTTTTGCAATGACTTCTCTCACTCGTGTGAAGCAAAAGGGAGTGTCACACTCTTACTGACTAAAAACCACCCCATTCCTACTCCTGCACTTCGAGCCGGAGCCCCGGCAACCCGTGAGTCCTTCATGGTTCCATATCAACATTTTTAATCCTAGATTTTTAAAAAGCCTTATTGGTATGTGTGTAATAAGTGGAAAAATAGATAACTTAATTTTGACTTTATTTTATAAGAAGAGAAAAGCTATGTAACTACATAACATATCGCCTTTAAACTCCGAAAGGTTAGCAGAGGTGTACATTATGAGTTATGACACTTAATACCGTAGTACAATGTGACAACCACTTTATACTATTTATGTTATAAGTCCCATCTAATAGGGGGTGAGTCTATTGCCATATACCGGGTAGAAATCCAGACTCCTTGCTACTACTGAACATTAAAAAAAACCAATAATACTAAAAATGTTATCTTACAGGAAATTCCTCCCGATACTCAGGTTCCAACCATCTAATGATCAGAGGCAGTCTGCACCATGGGCCCACTCGTAACATCTCACTTAAAATTCTTAATTTGAATTTAAATTCAGACTCTTTTCTTGGGATCTTCTTTAAGTTTAGATGTTGCAGTCTTATTGTCTTTGTTGGGTTTTGCCAAGCCCATTCGAACTGCAAAAAAGGTTTATTTTTTACTGAAATCAAAAGACATAAAATAGACTAGAAATAATTAAGTAGGTATGAACTTACCCTTAGAGCAGAAATATTATTTGGGAATCCATGCACTATGACCACCATCTTCCTAAAATATTTTTTTATCGGCATAAATACTGGCGTAATAATTTCAAACAAACACATTAAAATTGCTAATCCTAAGAATATAAACAATATTGCCTCATTATGTTTTTTCTACAAAACTAGAACTTGTTGTTCTCAGAGAATGCTAATAGCAAACTTATAAGCAAAAACTGAAACGATTGGATTTATTATGGTTAGTAAAATAGGTACATAAACAGAAATGATGCAGTCAAAAATTGGCGGGAACATCTGGATTAAATTAAACTGTTTGTTTGGCTATCAAGTTCATTGCAGTACATACCAGGGTCCCTTATTATTAGTTCGATGTGCTCCTCCAGCCCATATGCCTTTATTATGCTGCATTATTCTCCTATTTGGATCCCGAGTATAACCAACATATGTTCGGCCTTTATATTTTGGATTTGTACAATATAACAAGTAAACCCCGAAGAAATCCTCCACTAATTCTGGTTCCGTCATGTTAATTTCGTATTTGAATTTTAATGTTTGACGAAAAAACGCTTGTATTTGGAAAATCTCCTTGTTTGTTTATTTTTGCAACTTCAAAACTTTTTGACAGTAGCGTTTTGTGATCGATTACACATACGATATATTTAATTCATAAACGTAAAAAAACACTGTTATAAATATTTTATAAATAATATTACGAAATACGATGATAATATGCAAATACAGATATAATTAGAAATAATAATGATGTTTTAAACAAGAAATATTAAATTATTATTACGCTTTAATAATAACTACACGCAAGTACTGTCATTTTACATTTCACTCACTTGACAGTTATTTGAGTTATTGAGTTGACTTGACAGATAACCTCATAGCATTTTTGTAAACTAAACAGTTTTGGGTCCGTTTATTCTGTAAAAACAATTGGATTTATTTAATTTTTAACGCTTTTCTCCATCTACATAGAATCAACATAATCAATTAATTACTTTGTACCATGGCTGATGTTAAAACCTCGAAGATAAGCCAGAATATTTGCGGACTGTGAGTACCGATATTAAACCCTTTAAATTGTTTTGATTTCTAAAACGAATACATTTGCATAAGTTGTATCATCACACTGAACACTACTTAAACATCAATTCTAATCATACAAAATCTTTAATAACCTTTCAGATGTGATGAAAACCCAAGCAAATATTGTTGTCCACGATGTGAAGTATTTTACTGTTCCCTGGATTGTTATAAGTCTGAGAAGCATTTACAATGTTCAGAGAGCTTCTACAGAGATTGTGTGAACTCTGAATTGATGGCACACAACGCTGATGACGAATCTAGAGACAAGATGGTGGATATTCTTAAACGGATGCAAGATGATGACAATATTGATATAAATGACCTGATAGAGTATGATGATGATGATGAGCCAGCAGACTCTGATGATGAAGAGGAAGATGACTTAGAAAAACGAATAGAGAACATAAACCTAGATGATGCAGACGAAATATGGAATGCATTGACAGAGGATGAAAAAAATGAGTTTGAAGCATTAATAAATCAAGGAGATGTTGGGTCTATCATGCCTCAGTGGGAAGCATGGTGGATGTACCGAAGAGATAAGAAATTAGTTGAAGATGTTGATGTTAAAGTTGACGATGAAGAAGCGCTTAAAAATTGTCCAGCATTGAAAGCTGTACCGAAATTTGAATCACTAACAGTAAGAGACCTTGATTTGTGAAGTTTGCTTTTTCCTCTATGCATCAAAAAACTTTTTTAAGGTGCTCCCTCACCAGGAGCATTTGCGTGTAATGTAACGTTACAGATCTGTGCATTACATCAGTAAAGGAATAGAACCGAGCATTACAATGCCTACCTTGTAATGATACAATGTGTAATATCTTGATACAACTTGTAACATCAATGCGCTCCACTTTCCCGAGCCCCCCGCTCGCCCGTTTCGTCTGACATCTTGCAATGCAATGCGCAAAGTCGAATCAATATGTTACAATACAGGCAAATTCTCGTTAGTCAGGGAGGTGTTACTGTAATGTAAAGCTCAAAGTCGAATCTATAATGTTACATTACATGTGAATGCTCCCAGTGAGGGAGCACCTTTAGAGCAACATTTGGCTGCAACTTATCCAAGCTACCTATTACAAAATGAAAACTTTTCCCAAATTATTAATAAGTATTTGATTTCAGGCTGTGAAACCATCACCAGCTATCAAGAGCAACATAACAAATGTACTAGCATCATACGCTTTCATCATGCGGTACTTTAATGGAGAAATAGAGCCTGGCGAGGCAACAATATGCCTGTTCAATATTTGTGATAATTTGAACAGTAACACTAACTTTGATGATCCTGCTGTTGCTTTGGAGTCCGTTGCACAGAAATGTTTACAGGTACTGTAAAAAACTTGTTTAAGAAAACTGTAACTATCAAAACTTAAAATACACTTGGGATTTTTATGCTATGTTGTCTTATTATGACTTAAATTATGGGTACTCAAAAAATTACCTAAACTAGTTCATCCTCCAGTAATCACTGATTACTTCAAAATCGAAAAACCTGACATGATACTTCGCTTGACACCATGATTACGCTCAAACCCTCTTGTTCCGCTGTCTTACCAGCACTCTAAGGGCCATTCATAAATCTATAATGTAGTTACATTTACAATAGTTATGTCACTTATTAACATCACACATTCTTGTCTATTCCAGAGTGAATTAATACAAACAGACGAAGCAAGTATAGCAGTAATGAAAAAGGACACATTCCTTCTAATCCGAGGCCCGAGCGATGACAATGAAAAATATTATTGCCAAGCAGCACTATCCGATTTACACCACATACTCAATAGAGCCAAAACATTAGACAAACAAAAAGACCAAAAGACTCCCAAAGATAAGACGGTCTTTTCAAAGAAGTTTCCGGAACATGAAAAGGAACATTTGCCCAGTTTAGATGTAAGTAAAGTGAAGAAATGTATCAAGAAAGTTGAGTATTACTTGTCGTATGTTGACAGTTATGATATGGATTTTGATTAAATGATGCCAATCATTATTGAGTCAATCAAAATCATTAAGTAGTTTCATTTTATTTTATTATGTAAATTACGTCCCAAACATAGAGGCACTGTCTTTACTCGGGGTCCGTGCTCAGTGGCCCCAAAGGACCGAAAATTTCTACAAGGAACATATTCCCACTACACGTTGCTCGGCAACAGTTCGATTCTCGCACGGAGCAAATCTTTGTATGGACCACATATCGTTGTTTCAGGTCTGGGTATCATGTGTATGTGAACTTATGTTTGTAAATGCACCCATGATACAGGAGAAAATCCTAGTTAAAAAAAAGAAAAATTTTTTTCCTCTTTGGCAACAAAGACACATTTAAAGGGGCCCTCTGAACCTGAAAGAAACATTTAAAGGGGGGTACTTGCCAAGTAGTCAAATTCAATACTTTTTTCGAACTATCAAAACGACTGTTTTTATAAATTTTGTACGAGATTGTGTATTGTGGCGTCACCTTTTTTTAGCGTCAAACAGCAAACTTACTTTTTAAAAATTTGCTGGAAAGATACTAAAATTAAGTTAGCCATAAAATCAATTAATGAAAGTGAAAGAATTTTTTAATATTTTATTGTATTCAACAGTCGAAATAATTTATTTTTGATGAACCCAATTATTCTGTTCTTCAATCCTCAACTGCCTGAATCAAATTTAACGCGGTTTTCATAAAAGCTTTTAGTTAATTTATTAACTGACTTCACATAAAAGGGAATTGAAGTTGGTGTTTAAAAAAGGAAGTTTATTTAAAAAAAATATATCCTTTGCTATTTTTATTTTACTCATTAACAAAATCAATAATTTCGACGTTGTCTGATACAATGCAAAGCTGAAACTGGACTTATAGTTTCCTTAGATAGCGTAGCACTAGTACAATTTATATATAGGGGGCATTCGATTCTTGGGTAATAAAATAAAACACGTTAAACACCTTAACCAGATATATTCGTTGAAACATGAATAATCCAGGGAATGTCAGAATGTACCATCAACAATAATATATAATATTATATACACAATGCTCCAATACAACACTTAGTAACATACGAACTTCTTTCAATAATATATCGCTTTGTTAAGTAAGCAAGGATTTGAAAAGACAGAGACGGAGTTATAGACAGGAAAGAGATGGTGATAATCAAACAATATAGTAGAAAACACTAAAAATAGTAAATAAGGTCGATAGTTCTAACATTGATAAAGACAAAACTCTATCGCTATGAATTTCTTTAAGGTTTGTAAGGATATAACAAACGCACAGATGCGTCGCGGGGACCCGCCGAGAGTCGAGAGCCGTAAGAACGCGTATTTTTTTTTTTAAGGGGGGAAAATCATTGAATGACTGCTCCCGCCTTGGTGAGGCGGGAGGGAGTGTCAGACTCTTACTGACTAAAAACCACCCCGTTCCTTCACCTGCACGTCGAGCCGGAGCCCCGGTTACCCGTTAGGTTCCGCGTATATGAGTTTCCGGCACATAAAAAGGGCAAACATTGAACGCAATAGTGCGTGCGGGGCACTGTAGTTACGTCTTATAATTCGGGCACTGGATAAAATCACAGGGCAGTGAATGCGTTAATAGATTTTCTACCTTATACTTTTATACTTCAGTAATAAAGTTGAAAACATAAAATTCTGGGACTTTCAACCCAGTACGAAAGTTTTTCTTCTGTTGCAATTGCCTAAACTATTAGGATCCTTGCTTACCCAACACATAAATAACATTGAAATCTAAACTAGAAATTGGCCTAGTTGTTATATTGCGAATTATTATTTGTATATAGTAATTTGACATAACAAATATCATCTGAGAAAGAACCGACTTGAAGAGAAGCTCTTAATTAGTACATGTTGCATTTATTTTGCACTCTTTCGAATAAAATGATATGGTAGTGTGTGTGAGTACAATCAGATATAAAGTTATTACACATGTCATGTCAAATTACTGTACACAAAATACAAATCGAAGTATAACTTCTATTCATAGTAATAAATAGATTATAATTTTTCTCACTTAGGGCCGATTTTACCAACACCAGATAATTTTAAACCTTTGAATATTTGTCAATTTTGTTTTATTTGTTTCAGACTTACATCCATATATGTGTTAATACAATTGCGAGCTTGCGAACTATACTCGGAATTTTAATTCGATTCCAGATTTGACAATTTCAGTGTTGCAACGTTATGACAAGTACTAAATATTGACGTTGCGAAATTATTCGATATGGAAATGCAATATTTCTGGATCGATTCTTCTCGTTTATAATTTTACTCCCGTAAACTGAGTATATCAGGAAATTTAATATTTCTGAACCGATAATTTAGTTTTGACGATTAATTAATGATCTGAGACTTTTCTTTTATAATTGTGTGTGAAATAACTAAAAAATGTAATCATGAAGGAACATGACAAATAAAACAGATAGATGTATTATGGTAATAAGTTATTTTATAAATTGTCGCCGTCATCGCTATCGCTATCCTGTCAGTTTCTGTAACATTTATTATAAAACACACACACTGATTGTTTATCGATTTTTGTGTGCATCACTACACTATTATATGTGGTATCATTATTTCACAAAATGACAGTAGCTATTGTCAAATCTGGAATCTAATTAAAATTCTGACTATAGTTTTAGTATTTTTCTTTACTAAAAACCGCCAATGTCAATTTTATTCTACAGTTATAAATTATCTGTTGATTGGAAAATCGGCCCTTAATTATACAATAACATTCAAAATGGCATTCTAACATATAATTTCAAGAGATATACATAATAAGTTTCATACAATATAATTTGATATAATAATATAGCTATGGTAACATTACAAAAGGCTGTTGTATACTCATATAGAGGGCGCTAACGTCGCTTTTTGCATCAACACTACTACTTTTAGTATAATAGGTAGATAGTAATTTTTAATATACATAATTAAAAAAATAAGATATTGATTCCAAATTATTTATTAGTCTGTATTTTTCTACATTATAAGGTTCAATTTCGGTTGCAAACTCCACATTCCACATTGTTTTTAATCATTAAATTTTTCATCTAAAATAAGTACGTTTTAACATTGAAACTATGTGTTAATGGACCACAAATCATATTATTTTTATTTTTTACTTTGTTTTTACTTAACCAAGGTTTCAATTCTACTATTAAAAGAGACGTACCTCTGAGTTTGTTTCGGCATTTCTTCTCAGAGTAGTCAGTTAGGAAATATCGACCTCATCATTTGCTTGATAAAATTGACGTGTAAAAGTGCTGCCTTGTAGCTTATTGCAGAAATAAATTTACTTGTTTCACTAAACAGTAATTATTCAGATCGATATTTGTAAAACGTAAGTTGTTATTGAAAAATGTACTCTATTGATTAGAGTTAAAGTTTAATTTTCAAGTTGATATTTTACAGAGAAGCCTTTAGAGAAGTAAATTTTAATCACCTCTGGGTTAATCATACTGAGCAAATTGCAACATAATTCTAGCAATTTTGAGTCCTAACAATCCGTTATAGGGACGAAATTGAAAAATTACAAATATATTGCCGTAACTAAAGCATGAATCGAGGAACAAAATGTCTTATTATGTAAGCAATAGAACGGAAAATTGATTGACGAAACTGAAAGCAGAATTGAAACCTTGATACATGCAAAATAGTATATATTATTAAATAAATAATTAAAACTCCTTTTCCACAATAACATATCCATTCACCTAAGCCCCAAACCGATACGCAGTCCTTTAGCAAATTCAACTTTAAGTTTACCTATGATAAGGTACAATTTTCTTTTACACTTGATGTAGGTATTGAATTCTATGTAAACATACTTGACGTAATTTAGCATTTTCTACAATTTTGTTGTAAATCCAACTCAATCATGAGTTCTTAAGGAACAATTTTTAATAACACTTGTAGTATAGAATTTGCTATGAGATTTAAGACCTTAAACCTTTGACCTAAAGATTAAATTTAGAATTCCTATGTTTTTAAACATTGAATTAAACGTAATATATTAAAGAATAATAACATTGCCAATTTGTATACACCAACTTTGGAAGGCGAAGTTTTATTTTAATTAATAATTTCTTTAATGATCATTATTATATTTTCGGCTTACTCACGTAATTGTTTGACGAGAAACTCTATTGGATTCAAGCCATGCCCGCACCACCGCAGACACGAGTACCCAGTAGCAGCGCGATAGTCGGCTCGCGGAATGCTCTCATTAATATGAGCCCCTAGCATGGCTTGAAACTATTCGAGTTCCTCGTTAAACAATTACGTCTGTAAGCAGAAAACATAATAATTAATTTAGTATGTCTCACGAAAGTTTTAATTTATGTATTTGTATACATAAATTAAAACTTTCGTGACAAAACTCGCTTGTTTTAGCATCGCTCACTCTACAAAACAGGACGTAATAATTATATTAGAAAAACACCACCATCAATTCGAAAACTATTATAGGGTATTTTAATAGGATTATCGCCCTTCTCCTTCCCACACCCCCCATCCTTAAATCCCTAAACCCCTAAAAGGAGTCGCGGGCGTCCATGGGCGTCCGATTGCTTGCCATCCGTGTGATTATAAAAAAAGGTTTTGGATTATTCAAAGATTTTGCCGCCCAATTCCATGAAAAGACCGTTACAAATTCAAATTTCGAATTAAATTAGCTTCTGCCAGCAGCTTCGCCTGTCCAGAGGGATTTTTTTTAATCAAACGTTGCCCCGCACTAGGATTTTCTCCTGTGTCATGGGTGCGTTTACAAACATACAAGTTCACATACACATGACACCCAGACCCGGAACATCAATCTTTGGATCACATAAAGTGTTGTTCCGTGCGGGAATCGGACCCGCGATACTTTGCGCGGCAGCCAGTTGCCCAGCCACCGCCCCAACTGTGCAGTGAACATAAATACCTTATGTGTTTTTCCACACCACAATCTACCACTGTTCCTTTCTTATACCTTCAGCCGTTTATAACATACATACAACTCCAACAAACTATCGCATTCATAATTTATATAAGATTCTATCACGTTCTTACTTTTTAATATGGTATTTGATTCTGGTAATACTGTATCATGTCGTAAGTCCTCGTTCTGAAGTTCAAGAAGGAGTTTCTTATAACTGAGAGCATATAGGCGGCTGCCTCTTTTTCTGTCGAGTTTGGAGCGAACCTGGATCTTAGCAGCCGGATGGTCTGTCCACGGAAGCATGGGAGGCCTGTGTCTAGCATTAGCGATACCATCGATATTATCGCTTCTTGGTACGGCCTGGAAAAGAGAAAAGAGAGTTGTAAAGGTGTAGATTGGATTTTATGTAAAAGGTTGGAAGGTTAAAAATTGCTTGATAAGCAAACGTCGACTTTAACTGGCATAATATAAACCGACAATTGGCTAACTAGTTCTCGACTGTATTATATCTAGATTAGGTTCATATTTATCTGACAGCAAGAAACATACAAAGGTATACACAACTACTTCTTAATGTAATTTCAACTTTGTGATATAAGACTCATATTCGCCTGACAGCATAGATCACACGACTATACAACTTGAAGCAAACAAGAACCTAAGTTATTAGAAAATAAAGTACATATTCACCTGACAGCGAGGAAGGCCTGCACACAGAGTTCACAGAACCACCTAAAGGGCGGAGCTTCCATCTTCCCTCCCATCACCATCACCATCTCGTCCGTCAACTTGATGTCCGGCTCGAAGCCCAGGTTCCCACCAGGCGACGACTCGAACATGAAACCAAAATCTGGAACAAAGGAATTTAAACTTTGTTAATATAACGATATAGTTTAATTTTGCCTGTATGCAGAACATGTTAAAGGATCTCATTTTAAAGTGCTAGACAAAAAATATAGATTCTTATACATAATTCACATTTCTATTTACACCTTTCTCGCATAGATTTACGAAAAATGAACTAATTTAAACAAGTGAAACAGACACATAGGTCCAAAAAGCATGACATTTCCAATTTAAGAAATCAAAAAATAAAAAAAACAATTAAAAAGAACAACAATAAAAAAAGAATCTACCATATCTTTACTTAATGTTGAAATCACTACATAGTATAAAACAAGGTCGCTATCCGCCGTCTGTCTGTCTCTATGTATGCTTAGATCTTTAAAACTACGCAACGGATTTTGATGCGGTTTTTTTAATAGATAGAGTGATTCTTAAGGAAGGTTTATATGTATAATACATGCATATTATACACGGGGCGGGTCGCTAGTAAAATATAAAATATTAACAGAGTTATCCATTCATACTCACCAATATGAATGATATGCCCGTCAACATCCAACATAATGTTACCGTTGTGACGATCTTTGATTTGCAGTAGGAAGCCGATCACACTGTACGCGGCCATTGATGTCACAAAGCAGCGACGAGCGGCCTGGAATGTAATAATTAAAATTAAGAAAGAAAAATAATTTTTATAATAATTATCGTGAGACATACTAAATTAATTAAAAATCGCAGGTTACACACGTGAATATACTGAGAAAAGCTCTACTAGTTTCTAATAGTAGACTGCGCGACATCGCCGCGACCGCGCACGCTGATCATGAGGAAGAACCCCTCTGTGGTTCGAAACTAGTAGAGCTTTTCTCAGTATATTCACGAAACCCGCGATTTTCAATTAAAAATAATTATATTAACAAAAAAAAAAGACAAAACACATATTGTGTTTATAAATAATACACACAGTAAGTAGGTATGTATATACCTTTTAAAATGATCATCGACTGTGGCACCTGCAGCTGTATCCAAATGCCATTTAGCGCTTGTACATGTAGAATAGAAAACCAATAAATTTAGTTTTCTACTCTCTCTGTAGACTAGCGCTAAAATGACGTTTGGCTAAAGGCTCTGGCTATTATAGACTTACACGCAGAACATACATACATTGATAGGAAGGACATCCGTCATTATCTAAAGTCTAGTAACGTAACCTATTAGACACGCACACATAGATAACCCTCTGACATATTTATGCCCGTGGTTTATTCAATGTTTTTAGTTTGCACTGCATTATTTTGCGATTTAATTAGAATATATAGAATTACATATGTATTTTTATATGACAAAGCAATCAGTGCTACACATGGACACTCACAACAAAAGAGGTGTTATTGAGTGCGTTACCGGACTTAGACCGGACCAATGACGGATCTCAAGACAGCCCAGATGGTAAAAATAACATAAGTTTTATAGCACATACCTGGAACTCCCTAGTGGATTCGTCTCCATACTTCTTGATGAAGTACTCGTACATGCCGATGTCGGTCTGCCGGCCGAGCTGGTCGCGGGACTTAGCGTTGGGCACGCATTCTATTACGCCACACTGAAATTGTAAATTACATTATATTTTGTTAGATACCTACCTATTTATATTATACCTTTCGTGAGACATCCTAAATTAATTATGTTTTTCTCGGCTGACTCATGTAATTATTTGACGAGGAACTCGACTAGTTTCAAGCCATGCTAGAGGCTCATATTCATGAGCAGAATTCTGCGACTCGCGATGCGATGAATGTCGCGCTGCTGTTGATATGAGCCTCTAGCATGGCTTGAAATTAGTCGAGTTCCAACCTGGGAGTCTTCAAGGCCCGAGTGAATAGGTTGCTTGAGGGTCGACGTGCTCTATCGTAGACCGAATCCTCGCTTACCACTAGGCGAGATAGAGTTCAAACGTCGGCAAATAAAATATAAAAAAAATAGATAATCAAATAAAATCTTCATCTATAAACTCACCCCAGGTGCAGTGGCGACAACTTTATAGGGAAACAGGTACAAGTCCAACCCAACTTGTTGGAATATGTTCTTGAAGAGCGATATCACTTGCAGCGCCAACATGTCCTGTCTGACGTCATCCCCTACTTTAAAGATGGCCGCCTGCCACACTTCCGCTGCTATGCCAGTGAACCTGTCTTTGCCGTCCTCCTATTGAGTAAAGGGTTAAAGTAAATTTTAGTAATATAAGCATAGAATGTTAAGAGTTTCAATATTTCTCTATTTTATCATAGTGCACAGGAAAGTGCAATAAGTAAAAGTTATATGTATATCAATAACCCATAGATTTTGAGATGAGAGATGAGCTTTCAAAGATCGTGAGTTATAAATGGGGCGAAGAAAGAAAGAGATACAATTGGTTTTGACATTTATCTATTTATCTATATAAATAAAAATGAATTTCCGTTCGTTAGTCTCGCTAAAACTCAAGAACGGATGAACCGATTTGGCTAATTTTAGACTCGAAATGTTCGTGGAAGTCCAGGGAAGGTTTAAAGGTAATTATTAAACGGAACGAAGTTTGCCGGTTCGCATATTTTATTAATATTAGTACACACGGCTACACATCGAGCTTTACATAACCAGTATAAACTGGACGTTAAATGTGCGGAAAGATGATGCGACGCGACACCAGGATAAACTGGTTTTGTATAGATACACACCTACGTACAGAAATTTGGCACCAAATATTTTTCACACTAGTATCTTTGTCATGCACATACATAAAAAAACCTTGCATACATACATGCAAGACGAACCAACGAAAACCATACATGAGGGGGATAGGCAGACATGTCAAGGTCAAGGTCAAAGGTCAAGGTCAAAATCATTTATTTCAATTAGACCAGAATGGCACTTTTGAACGTCAAAAAAAAATTGAAAGTGCAGCTATTTGCTCATTCCAAGGCGTAGATTCCTATGTATCCAGGTGCCTGTTAAACGTTATTATGGGGAAAATAACGAAGGGTAGGATAATAGCATTGATCACACTTATACTTGTCCGACTTGACTTACAAACTCCGCTGTCGACCGACGATGACTGATGTTAAAATATTTTAGTAGACTCTGTTTAGGATAAAATACGTTCAAGTGGGACGTCATTTTTGGAAACAGTATACACCGTAAAATGCCTCGTTGGCCGAGTGGTCGCAAGTGCGACTGCCGGGCAAGGGGTCTCGGGTTCGATTCCCGGGTCGGGCAAAGTATTGGGTTTTTAAAAAATCACAATAGTAGCACGGAGTCTGGAATTGTTCCTGGTATATGACTATAGGCTCAACCTCTATTACATGGAACTCATAACATAAATAGTGAAAGGTCGCAAGTGCGACTGCCGGGCAAGGGGTCTCGGGTTCGATTCCCGGGTCGGGCAAAGTATTGGGTTTTTAAAAAATTCTCAGTAGTCGCACGGAGTCTGGTAATGTGCCCGGTATATGGCAATAAGCTCACCCCCTATTACATGGGACTCATAACATAAATAGTGAAAAATGGGTGTTGCTTCTGTGTGCACTTGTACCTACCCCTTCGGGGATAAAATATAAATAATAATTATATATTTTTTTAATTATATATAAAAAAATAATAAAAATATAAGTATAAAATATAAAGAGTATGATAAAGTACACAGTGCAGTACATAAAGTAAAAAAGTGACTATTCACGGCAGTGACAACTTGACGTTTGCCACAATGGCTGTCGCGCAATATTTTCACATTATAGGCCCCAGACTTGACTCGAAATTAGTCGAGATACGTCGTCGAATAAAGTTCTTCAAAAAGCCGTAAATAAGTAATGTTCTTACCGTTGGAGGATCTTCTCCAGCAGATATAGCCATGGCGACGGCTTCCATCTCATCTATGCCGTACTTCCGAACCCTGAACCTTGCTAAGTAGGGAGCTTTCGCTGCACTCTGCATAGGGGTACCTAGAAAAAAGAATTAGGTGGAAAATGAAGTAAATATGTTGTGCCTTTGTAGAAGCGATATATTAATTAACAAAACTATATTAATATTTTATTTAATACTTAATTTTTTTTAAATATCTCAGTAGTAGTAGTAGTTCTTATCTTTCTAGCACGGAGTCTGGAACTGTGCCTGGTATATGGCAATAAACTCACCCCCTATGACAAGGGACTCATAACATAAATAGTGAAAAGTGGGTGTTACATTGTACAGTAGCATTAAGTGCCGTAATGTGCACCCCTGCCCACCCCTTCGGGGATAAAAGGCGTGATTTTATGTTATGTTATGTTATTACAATTTTCTGTTACTCACCGCTCTTATAATCGATGTCTATAACCATTGAGTCTGGGTTTGAAGGTAAGTAGCAACCGGGCTGAACCTGGAGAGAAACAAATTGTGAATACAAATCTTTGCAAAGTGAAGTCAAGGATATACTAGGGGACAAATATCCTGTGACTTGGTTCGCCAGCGACTTTGGGTGGAGTACCGCGACGTTGCCAGATTTTGGTCGGCATAGGGATGATCCGTATTTACTGGTACAGACATAAATACCTAGTATGAGCTTACCGGTACGCAGACTGGGTATGTAAGCAGAAACCCGGTCTCTACTCGATAAGTATACTTCTATTGTATAGTCAAACTAAATCGTATGACAGAACTGACAGTACAGTCCTATCGCCCGGGTCTGACGTCATACCCAGTGCAGTCGTTCATAATGTACGCCTCGCGCTCGCCACTCACGCAGAGAATACGAATTTACCCAAACGGTCACGACGCTTCCCGCTTTTCAAATATGTTACAAAAATGCCCTTCAAACGATTTTCTATACTTAAGGCGACCTCTAAGGCCAGATTTCTTTTGATACTGGGTATACGGTCATACCCATACTTTTGTGCCCGGGTACAGAATATTGCAGGTATGTCTCATGCCTAGTCCGGCAACATCAACGTCACTGTGGGCATAAGGCGAGCGTTTTCATTTTATAACATGTCGGGCGACATCGGCAGGCTTCGCTTGACATGTTGTCAATACAAGTCGTGGGACATTTGTCCCCAGTGTATCCTTGGCTTGAACATTAATTTTTAGACCGCACGGTTGACGCGGTGGCTCGGCAACTGAATGCCGCGCAACGTTTATTGGGTTCAATTTCGGGAGCAACTCTTTGTGCGATCCAGAAATTGTTGTTTTCGGTCTGGGTGTCATGTATATGTGATATTGTATGTTTGTAAACGCACCGACGACACAGGAGACAATGTTTAAAAAATAAATTAAACTATAAAATAGAAACATAACATTGATAATTGTTTCTATCAAAATTAACGATTGTTAAAGTAAAGTATCCGTCAGTAGGCATAATGTTAAAGTATGGTTCATGTTTTCAGTACTATATGACATAAATAAAACTAAATGGCAAATTACAATAGAACCCTCTATATTACAACGTATTAAAAATAATCAATTAACGAAATATACCAACAGAAACGTAAAATAAATATACGTACTTTAACAGTTTTCAGCGCCTCCAAGCAGGCTCGTTTCCTCTCGGCCCCCTTCGGGAACGGTCGGATAATTCCGCTGATATTCGTGATTTGACTGAAGAAATCAAATTCTCTTTCATAGAAAGCTTTCGCAGGTCCAGAGAGGCGATCGACGATGTTCTTTGTAAGGCTCTCTAGGATGTCGAACAGAGCTGCTGGAACACGGAATGGGTAATGAGAGTGCAAGAGTTGGACAGGTTAGTATTGTTAGATGTATTAGAAATGAAATTTAGTTTTGTTAGTTGTAATTTGTAAGATTCAATTTTTAATGCTTCAGTTGCCTTATACAGTTGCTCAAACAGGTATTAAATTCACAAACAATAATCTTGTACTATTAATTTCAATCAGTGGTTTACATGACTGCCTCGTTGGCCGATTGCTCGCAAGTGCGACTGCCGAGCAAGAGGATGAGGACGCTCGAAAGCGATCGAGCATGGCCCATCATGGCAAAAATTTTGTACCATCTGCGTTGAAATTGAATTAGAAGCCTGGAAATCTTTTGAGGAAGTAGTGAGGTTTTTTCTAGGAAACCATAAAAGTCCAAATTATGAGGAAATTGTCAAGAAAATGATTGAATATTTTGGCAAAATGGGATGTTCGATGAGCATTAAACTTCACTTCCTTAATTCGCATTTGGACTACTTTCCTGATAACTTGGGAGCTGTAAGTGAAGAGCAAGGCGAAAGATTTCACCAGGACTTGAAGGAGATGGAACGTCGCTAGCAGGGAAAGTGGAATAAAGTAATGATGGCAGACTACTGTTGGCTATTAAAGCGTGATGATCCAAGTCGGAATTTCAAGCGAAAATCTCACAATCGGAGCTTCGGTGAAAAAAAGCAAGATACAATATTTAATATTTTTAATTGATTTATTACTGTCCCTTCAATGTATTTTTAATGTTTTAAGTTTAGTAATATAATTGTTACATCATTTTAATAAAAAAAAACTGTAAAGTTGGCCTTTTTTTCAAAAAAACTGAGGGTGATAGGACAAATCCAACATATTCGTAATCAGCGCACCAAAATACCTCAATATCAGCAATCAAATCCAAAAGGGGAAAATAAGAGTTAAAATTTGCAGACCTGTGTTATAAATCGGAAAGTGAGTTTGTTTGTTTGTTCTGCTTTCACGCCATAACTACTAAACTGATTGCTTTGATTTTGTGCAGACGTAAAGTTAGAAGTCCAGATTAAATAATAGGGTACTTTTTATCCCGGAAAAATTGATATTCCCGAGGGAAAACAAAAGTATTGGTATAGATGGCGCTGTGTGTATTGGTATATGTCACATAGGCTACTTTTTATCCTTTTCTGACGCGAGCGAAGCCGCGGGTAAAAGCTATTAAGAATATAAAAGGAAATTCCTAAAAGTTTTAAAACATACATTATTTTCATAAGATATTAGCAATTTTTGTTCTGTGGCTGATTCAAAATATGACGTAAACATGAAATGAGTGTTAATTAATAAAGACCGAAGCAAAATGACACCCTAGACGGCAACGTTTCAATAAAAAGAAAGATATAGAAGAAAGAGAATAGAGTTCAAAATAGACTGACAAGCAAGCGTTACTTACGATCTTTATTGTGCATTTCTTCATCCGTGTATAAATTAGTATGCATATTCCATATTAGCTGATGAGCTACCACTTGTGATTTCTTCGCTAAAGACTTTATTAATTCTGCTACGTAGCCCATCTAGATGAAACAAAGATCATTAATGTGTGGGAGAGCCATGCTTCGGCACGAATGGGCCGGCTCGACCGGAGTGATACCACGGCCTCACAGAAAACCGACGTGAAGCAACGCTTGCATTGTGTTTCGTCGTGTGAGTGAGGTTACCGGAGGCCCAATTTCCCCCCCCTTTCCCAATCTCCCCAATCCCTGAATCCCCAACAATCCTCAAACTCCTAATCCACAAATAGCCGGTAACGCACTTGTAACGCCTCTGGTGTTCCAGGTGTCCATGGGCGACGCCGATTGCTTTCCATCAGGTGATCCGTCTGCTCGTTTACCGGCTTATGCCATAAAAAAAAAAAAAAAAAAAAATGTGAAAATGTACTTTAATCTTATATGAGTAAGGTTTGAAATGCATTATAATAAGAACAGTGAGGTTTCATAATATAAAGTGTATTTGCATATTTTTTTTTTTTAATAGGACAAACTACTTGAGTTCCTGAAGTAAAAGTTAATATGAGTTCTTAATATCAAATCTATGTGAACTAAAAACTTCTTCAGTAATGAGTCGTCAACCGAAATTATACCTTATGCCATATTTGATCAGTTAGAAATTAGTTTATACGTTTTAATTATCTTCTTATATCGTACCTTCTTACAGGCCTTAAAAGATCTAAGTCAGTTCATCACTATCATTACTGCAATACAAATAAAAACCAACCTTATCTCACTAAAAATAAGTTACAAAATCACTTACCGTGTCATGTCTCAAAGCCTGTACTAACTGAGGTATGTATAATAGAACAGCGGAAGAAGGATATGACGTCAGAGTGCTGACAGCGGCCTGCGCCGACAGTGGGTGTGGCGGGTACTGGCGACTGAAGTACGACAGAGCTTCTACTGGACTCACTCGGGCCCAGGTTATCATGTGGACTAGCTGAAATCATAAATAAAATACAATAATAATTACGTAAATCATTTTGAAATGTCGTGGTCGCCCGAAGGTTTAAGACGCCCGCTTCTCATGCATGAGGGTGTGGGTTCGAAACCTACCAACGGCAAGTACCAATGTGACTTTTTCCGAGTTACATGTACTTTCTAAGATTATCTAGACACCACTGACAAACGGTGAAGGAAAACATCGTGAGGCAACCTGGGCTTATAAATTCCAATTAAAAGTTTGTAATCGCCAACCCGTATTGATATTATGAAAATGGTTAGACTAGAATGATAACAGCTCTCCTTGGCATTTGCATGCAAGACTATTTTAACAAAGACAAGTTATTTTTTATCGAGCAAGCTCATATGTAGCCCGCCATAGTTACAAAACCTGGATCGGATGTTCCGAATATATGTTATAAGTCTTTCACAAACAACAAACGACTCTATTCCAATCAAGCTTAAGGATAAACTTCATGAGCATTATTCAGTGTAATCATCATCGTCATTCATTCAATGTTGCAGTACTTGTAGCATAAGTATAGTCTTCATCAAATATCAACTCTATTACAATGGAGTAAGGATACAAACCTCATGAGCATCACTCAACAATGTTTCAGTAGTGACCAAGTACTTCAGAGCTTGAGGCACGTGACACACTGCAGTAGGCTGCGCTTGTACCTTGCGACGTATTTCCAATATAATGCCTTCGTTCTTCAACCTGAAATATTGAACTTTATGCTTTGAGTGATTCAATAGTTTTTGTGAAAACCGTCAAAATCGTTATAAGCTTATTGATATATGGTATATAATCAAACCTTTGGGGTCATTAGCGTATAGAGTAGGGAATCTCTAGGCGCCCCCTCAAGGAAGACGGCGGCACAGTGGTCACGTACCGCCGTGCACCGCACAGAGAGGCTCTAGGTAGACACACAGGGCTCCATGGGGAGCTGCCGACACAGGCGGTGCACCGGGGGGG